AAAGCTCAGATTCTGATCTCACTAATACTCATTGTACCCCACGAATTCTGACAGTATTTCAGGACTGCACTGGGATGAAGCAGCCCAATCTCACTAAAACTAAACCTCTCAGAAGGCTGTCCAAGTTATCCATTTCCAAAGGTGCAGACTTTGATCGTGAGGCCCATCCGATGCCCCAGCACCGGGCAGGATGAAAACTGCTCTTTGTAGAAGCACCTGGGCAAAGGCTCCACGTGATCCAAGGTACATCCAGGCAAAAGGAACTCCATGGCTCTGACTTTGGGGTGATCCGATGATCAGAAACAGCATTGGCTGATATTCCACTGTATGGGTGGAATATTCTGCTCCTATTATGCACTGATAAATTCTGATAAAAAACACATGCCTCTTATCATCATGTGTATGTCAAGAACTAGACTGAGCTGAAACCAAACGGCACTGAGAAATTTGGCTTCTGCAGCTATGTCCTCTAGACTGCCCTGCTGTAGGTTGGTTTGATAAGCACATATAGTCTAGCTAAGCTTTTAGGGGACAGCAGTTTCACATGCAGCTGCAGTTTTCAGTGGAAGCTGTTGTTATAGGTTTTTTTATTTACAGTTAGTATTTAGGCATTATGTTCATGTAGAATTTAATGGTGGAATCAAGCTATAAGTGAACCTATGGATTTATTTGTTCCAGAATTTTCTCTTCATTCCACTCACTCCCTATTTCTTTATTGTTTTCTGCCATTTATTTTGTAGGAAATAACTGCCACTACAACCGATTACAATCTTCTGTTTTATAGAATATAAAAATATAGGCTACATCAGAGTTATCTTTCCTCCTCCTCACGATCTACTCTTGGTAAAAATGCAGGCCGTGCTTCTTAGACAGGTTACAAACGTGTCTTGGCTTGAAAACAAAGTTGATACCTCTCAGCAGGGATGATTAAAAGCTTTAAAATGTATTTTAATTTGACTCAACTATCTTTCATTATAAAAGCTTCTAGCTATCTTGAAACATAATAACATTGACTGAGAACTGCAAAGAATTTTTCAAAGAACAAAAGCCTAGACAGAGAGTAGCCAAAGGTGCAAATGATTTGAGTATTTTGTACTAATAAAATATTGGTACTGTTAATAAAAAGGTAAAATGAAATAGTGCTCATAATGTGCATCCTCCTCCATTTAAACCTGCAATAGCAGCACTGCTCACTGGCCCAGTTCTGTGGCATGCTGAGGGCTTCCTGCAAAATGCCGCACTGAAATTCTTTGTGATTATCTGAAACCTTATACGGAGCTTGTTCAAAGAATAAAGCTATGTGAAAAGCATACCTGAACTTTTAAAATGACAAACTAAAATCTTAAATACATAGATTATGCGTATTGACTGCTACATCATTGTAACATAACTGCATAAAAATCCTTTTGATAGCGTGTTGATAACTTGACTTCATGTAATTTAACTGACCCTTATTTGCTAAGGTGCCATGTAAGCCAGTGTTTGGAAGGGAGCCAAAAGAAAAAAAAAGAGAGAGGAAAGAGAGAAATCAGATTAAACTGTAAATCTATGGTTGGCATAGGTTTAGCAAGCCTTACAGAACATATGGAATGCAGAATCCAGTGCTATTTCTTGGAAAAACTAGTATTAAACTAAGGACAATTGCCTGAGCCAAACAAACTATAACATCTTTTTTCAGTTCCTAAATACATAATCCGGCAAAGAAACAAAATTAGAAAAAAAGTGTCCACTGCTAAGCACCACTTTGTAACCGATATAACAAGAAGTATATTAGTTTATTAGTCGCATTGCAACTGAAAGATGAAAGTTAATATTCTCCAGTAAAAAACCCCATCCCATGACCTTAAATCGACAGTCCTGTCTACCTTAATTGCAGCACAGGGTGAAAAAAAAGTTACTGAAATCCAGAACATGAGACTGAGAGTAAGTCATAAGGCAAGCGCAAATCTACCTTGTCAAACTCCTCTCAGTATTACACACCACCGTTAATAAAACGCATTACTTTAACTAATTGCATACATTTGAGCATTCATCATCCTCAGTTTATTACTTCGGTAACTCTGCAATAGGGATGTCGAGCAACGTCCCTCCCTTGCACGTCCCATAACCTACATCAGTGCTTGCCCACACGGACCTTATCAAGTAGCCAAAGAGTTGCCCTTTCACTGTGAGCAAGTGACTAATATCTAAGCTGGCTCTAAAGAAAGACACTTTTCATAATCGCCCAACAATCTGCTAAGTGAAAACATATGGATAGGCTTAGGTAAAGCCTGCCAGGGGTCTTTACTGAATGGAAAACAGGTGCTCCAGTTCTGTGCCATGTAATACCCCATTTACCGTTAAGTCCAAAGGTTACAGGACTAATAGCTGCCTTGTGGTAATCAGGGAAGGCAAAGACACTGGCCATGGTCAAACATCTGGGACATATTTTACATATTTGCAACATATGCTTCAGTTTCAATTAAAGTGAGGCTTTGGCACATTTATTAATCTTTTTACTTTTATTGCATAAGAAGACCCATTTACCTGACTTTTCTATTACATCCTATGAAAAAACAGAGAAATAATAAAAGCCAGAGGCCACTACCAGCTGGTGTTACAAAACGTGCATTTGTTTTCTCACAAAACTTCATTTTGCACATAGCTTTAAAAAAACACATATATGAATTAAAATACAAAACTGCACCCTTCCATTTTGACAAAAAGATGTAAGAGGAACAGCAATAGTTAACAGAATATGTCTAGTGCACCGGAAAGGAAAAAAACGCCTTACCAGCTTCTAACAACGAACAACTCAGTCCTAACTACGCGCTTATGTTTTACAGTTTTGCCCAGTGCAAAATAACGCCCACTGCGAAGAGTACTGAATATATACAGTAGTCCATACATGCTTATTTTAGAAAGCGTAATTTTCTTTCCCATTCAAACAGCATATACAATCACGAGAACTCAAAACATTCACAATAATGAAGACAGCTTTGAATTTATAAAAATCAACCTAAACGCCTTCTGTATAGAAAGACAGCTCTTAAATATTCAATAAAAGGGCTCACTGAATGCACATGGTAACGTCACATGGTAACTAGATCTAGAAAAACGTTTGAACTCTGGTGTCAGTTTGAGAAAGCTGAATATTAGATCACAACATTGAAACCTAGGGAGATATTTCTAATTGGGTATGTTTTGCCTGACATCTGCTAATCGCCAGAGAACTGGGGGACAGGGGGCTGACCCCCGCCTTCATCTTCCCTTTTAAAGGAGTTTGTTTAGCAATTTCCAAAAAAAAACCCCAACCACCCACTAAGAAGTAACTATAGAGGCTGGCTTAAACTACAAGCAGTCAAGCACTATTCTTATTGAACTAATCACAGTTATTAAAATATCCAGGAATACACACACTACTGGGGTGATACTTTTACACCAGCTCTAATAATAAAGCTGGAAGAAATGGGAGAAAATGGCCTCAAATGGATGACAGATCAGTGTTTATCAGAAGAGAAATGATGATTCCAAGCCAGCATGTTGAGTTAAAATACAAGCTCTCCACAGCTACATGACTGACCTTTGCAATAAATCATATATTTTATTGCCAGAAGTGTATGCTCATATCATTCAGTGTTAAAAACCATTACATACGTGTTTTGTAAAAGAAGGTTTTGTTACTACAGTGTTTGCCGAGTCTGAAATGATGTAGCTAACGACTTAAGTGATGTATAGAAGAATTTCACATAATAACTTTCTGTCAATTGCAAAATGTTTGAACTGGCAATGGAATGAGGAAAATACTCTTTCTTTTTACAATCTCTCAGATCTTAGGTGTTAGCTAACAGAAAAATAATCATTCAGGGGATTAACTAATCATGGTGAATTTTCTGACATTTCAAATGCTGCTGCCAGCATATGAATTCTTAGATTGGTATATAACTGTACATCTCAACTAGAAACAAAGGTCAAGGGTATAAATTAAGACACACTGTTTTTCTCCTCTTGAAAAAAAAATTCATTGCTTTACTACAACAGAAGTGGGGAAACATCTGTGAAGGTCAAAATCATCTGTACTTTAATTCAGTGTTCTTGTAAAATTATCTATTTTTTTCCCCCCTTTTCTTTTCTTCCACAAATATCACCTTCCTGGTATGAAAATACCAGCAACAACGGGGCTGTCTTCACCGTGCTCGTCTCACCAGAAAGCTGTCCCACCAGCGCTAGCCGTTGCTTCAGTGGTGCAAGGTCATTCTAATTTCTTTTCTCTGTTTTTTTCCCTCTCCCTGGGGGACAACCAATCCACACAGTCCCATAGCTTGGCTCAATAAGGTGTGGAAATGAGCTGTTATTTACTGTGGTTGCAATCCTCAACCCAACCAGCAGCCTCCAAACCGAAGCACGTTTGCTCAAATAGCTGAATGATCTGCAACAGTTTCCCGGCTTGCTGGGCCACAATGCCAACTTCAAATCAAGCGGACGTCTATGAGAATTGTGATTATTTAAATGTCATACAGAGTGCAAAACATTTCAGTCATTCTTCCACCAAGTAATTCTTTGAAAATTATAGATGTCAATATCCCATCTTTAACCAGTATGGAGTTGCTATTTTTGCACCATTTTTCCCCTAAAGTGCAGCCCTATTTGTAATACTCAAGACAGGACAAATTTTTGTCCTTCAAAAACAGTTGTCACTGCAGTTATCTTCACAAGAGCTATCAAGTTCCAGACAGGCTGAATTATTTTTGTTCCTGGCAGAAAAAATATTTGACCCAGCTCTGGACCAAGGCAAAAAAAAAAAAAAAAAAAAAAAAAAAAAGCCCCCCCCCCAAAAAAAGCAGGATTTATAGTCCTCTATCCTTTCCTGCAACACACTGTAGCATTGTTAGGATGATAAACAGCTCTGTCCAATTTTCTGGACTAAAACACTTCAACTCCTTTTTTAACTGTCTGTAAAAACAGTGTCATGTCTAAATTCTCCCATCCCCAGATACCCAAGTGCTAGGAAAGATAATTACCTTGTCATCTCTGTCATCCTCTTCTTCCTCGTCCTCTAGCATGTCCTCCACTACCTGCAGACAGAAACAGTAGTAGTTGTCATGATATAAAAAGGAAGAGTTTTGTTCTGTCAATTCTAAACCTTTTGTAGATGAAAACTTTATTAACATTTGAAATAAATGCACAGAAGGAAAATGTACAATGAGGAAAAAACACTTGATCTAGAGATTCAAATTTAGGAAAGTGTTATAGCTTTAATTGACCTACATTAGGGAATTATGTACTGAAAACCCTTCCTGTATAAAATGCTTGCTTGACAATTTAAGTATTTAAAAGGTAGTTCAAAATTCGATATATGATTGTTTTAACTAACGGAATCCTTTGTCAGCTCCACTGGTGCCTATGCAGCACACACAAATGCTTGCTTTAAATTTACTGTTATCTACAGAAACGTGCAACATTTTTAATAGAATTTACAGCATTCACCAAGAGATTTTTGAAGAATACAAAGCTGGGAATTAATTCATACTAGCTTATCTCCTTATGATCTACAGCAATGATATATACCGTATGCTCTATCAGCATTAGCACTGTGTTTCCTAATAGTGATTTTATACAATCTGTGCATCTAACTTCACGCGCATTCATTGCTAGCTGCAGTTGCCACATGTCTGTGTCTATGTATTTTTCTATTTAAACAGTCTTATCAGTCCAACACTATGAAACATACACACACATTCAATTCATTCTACAAATATTAGTAATTATTAATCACACCATCAGCATGGAATGAACCATTATTAAATCTAGTTTACAGACAGATTAAATGACTTTCCAAAGATGGTCAGTGGCAGATTCAGCCTTAAAACTCACAAATCCCTCTCTCATAATACTGTGATCAAGTCTTCAGCTGACCCTACAGGGAAAACTGTTGGTGGAATTGAAATAAAGTTGTACTTCCTTATAACAAGAAAATAACTTTATATCATTATTTATCCATAAGTATTTATTAGGATATAAGAACAGCCATAATGAAGAGCAGCAAAGATCCACCTAGCTCAGTGTCATACGATGGATGCAAAAAAGTGTATGCTATGTATTATTAAATATGCATAAAAAGGACAAGAGAAGGAAAAATTTGTTGACATCAAATGTTAATACTGTGGCCTATTTTACAGACTTGCCACCAACTAAAATGATATTTTACTTTGTTATATAGGTGAAGCTACAAATGGTTTTAGTGTACTTGCCATTTAAGACAACACATTAAAACTGCAACTTCATAACCACCCCCACAAACACAGCTGCAAGGATATACTCACGAAGTCCAAATCCATGTCCAAGAACTAAAGGGACTTTAACTCTATCCAAGAGCCAAATTCGGGAAAGGGAATAACTTGAAAACGAAAGGTGTGTGTATCAGATGCCTTTGAGTTAGCTCAACCGTCAGGAAGATCCCAGTTAATCATGTTACATGGGCCCATGCAAGACGTAAATGACACACAGATCGATTTAACACGCACGTCTAGCAGAGCACTCTGCACACATGCAAGTCAACTGCACAGTTCAAAACGTTGGCAGTTTCAGCTGCTCATCCTTGTTCGAACCCAGCCCCAACACACCCCTCACCAGAAGCCTGGGACTTTGGAGGGGAAGGAGCCTCCAATTCTGTCTACTGGCTGCTCTGTCCTGGAGCTTAGAATCAAAATAAAAACTAGAAACACAAAGAAACAGTAAAGAGTGAGCATGTCTGAAAGCACAAAGAAGCAGCATGACCCAAGCAATTAAGGAACAATTACTCTTGAAGTCTTTCCTGCTCACAAGAACAGTTTTAGCAGGAGGAGCCTGACTGAGCAAACCTGCAGCCAGGCAGATGTATTTGTGAATGCCCACGGGCCAAAGAAGGAATCAAGGCTGGGCTCTAGCCACTGTCCATGAGGAAGAAGCCTCCCTCACCAGTTTCTCCTCTGTTTCCCTTTTAGGCCAGCTCTGCTCCATTTCTTACAGAAAGGGGATCAGATACAGCCCCCAGAGAGTTTGGGATGCTCACACCTCTCAGCACTGAGAGAGGGAAATGCAGAGATGCTTGTCAGCTCCTGTGTAGCTCAGTACACCATTTTACAGATCCCATTTGGAGGTGTCCGAGAGGTCCTGACTTCATGGGCCTCTCTGTGGAAGCAAAGGCATTTTCAGTTTCCCATGGACCTGCATCACCTCCTTGTTCCTCTCCTCCCCTGGTAGCTCACTGCCATCTTCCCTGGGCGGTTCCAAGTGTTTGGGGAGCTGAGCCGTAAACTACATCATTGGACTGACCAAGTTCTTCGAAAACAACCCACCCTAAAACTTTTCATGAAGATGTTTTCAGTGAACCAGTTTACCTAGCAGCTCCAGAAATGCTACCACCAGCTCTGCCAAGACAATAATGAACTGAGGAGAGAGGATGAAAACAAGCTCTAAAGGGCTGCAGCGAGGTGGAAACACTCTTAAATCAGTTTTGCCACACGCAAAAAAAGTCTGTAATTACATCATTAAGTGACTAAAGCCCAAGGTGTAAACCTGAATCTGTTGATTCAGATACTGCCTACGCCTGGAGCTGACTAAACTCATTAGGTCTCTTACTTTTCAACATTAATATTCCCCAGACACTTAAAGATCTCTTTTATGTACATCCAGAAATTCCTTGTCTTGACAGGATTGAACAGCAGAATGCCTATCTCACATTAGTGCTAAAGTTAGCATGGAGACAATTAGTTGAATTGGAAACCTCTAAAAGAGTTGCAAATGATGGCACCTCACTGAAATCACTTGCGTGACAATACCCATTCTAAATTATCCAGATAATAATACTTCAAATTCACTTTTTTTTTTTTTTCTTCCCCCATCTAATGATCTCGAACTACTTTACAAGCTTCTGTAGAGTGGCAAAATGTTAACTTGTTCACAGGACATAAAAAGGCCTTTGAAATCGCTTGAAGCCCAGGACTGAGCCCAGATGTCCAACTCCTCCATTCCATTATTTAACTCAAAAGCCACTACCAGTCTATGCTCTTGTTCTAGGTTAGTCATATCATCAATTACATTGAGCTTTGGAGTACTGAATTGTCTGGAAAGGAAAACAGAATTCAATTATTGTAGCAAAAGAAAATGTAGTAAAAATGTTCCTATGCCCAAGAAGCATAAATGGTTCTTTACAGGATATGAAACACAGCCCATGCTTTCATGTGTCTTGAAATTCAAAACGAAGAATTAAAAGAAAAAAACTTAACATGAACATTCAGACAATATGGACAAAATAGTACAGGTTATAAAACCACCAAAACAAGTGTTTTCAGAACTTCGGCACAAATTAAAACAAGGAAAGTAGATTCTTTGCAATCATATGATATATGAAGAATCAATATGCCGAAGCCTTACGGAAGCCCTGTACTGAAGTACAATCTATTTGTGCAGAACAAAGCAAGGCTGTCCAAGAGAGGTGCAGTGGATGTGAGCAACGGATTTCTGTTAAACACTGTAGTAAGAATACTGTAGAAAGAAAAATCCACAATGGAATTTTTTTCTCCTTGGATTCTGCCTCGTTGTTATTCAAATAAAGTGCACATGTGCTGCTTCGGTTTGAAGGAACACAGCAGATATTCAGATCTCTATGTCAGGCATTGTACCTGGGGGAGGTATGGTGGGAGGAGGGAGGAGACAGGGAGAGGAGGGAGAGGAGAGAGGGAGGACAGGAAAAAGCGTATGAAGATAAAATGAAACATTATTTTATTAAAAGTTCTATGGCAAAAATCTTAGATTGCCCCTAGAATACTCACTTTAAATTATGCCTTCCAATACCTTGCTTGAAATCAAGTAGTATTAATCAAACAAAGGAAGGGCACTGGGGAAATCAGAAAGATCTAATGCAAGCAGTTAAAAGTGACATGACCTTCTGTAATGTCACTTGTCACAGACTTATATGCCGCATACTGGTAGAAGGTCTTGAAAGAACCTGTTTCTTGGTACTGTCCCTTGAATGTAATACTAATACAGATGACATTTTAAAAAACACACGTAGACGGCCACAAATATGGCATGTCAGCTACTTCACGGCCAAACAGCAAGCAGATGATGCAAAATTAAGATCCTTCCTGTGCAAAACAGCCCTGTTAAAAGCTTATTAATTAGAAGGAGCATGCAGTCTGATTCCAACGTACTGCCATTGTTCCTGATCCATTCCTTTCCTCTTTGAGGAACTCAGTCTGTAAATACTGTACGGTTGATAACCCACAGGAGACGAGAGGCGCAGCAGCACCGGAGCGGTTACGTTACAGCAGGTTACCAGAAGGAAGCACAACCACCACGTTGCACGCCGAAGAAAACTCCAGCGTTTGTGGGCTAGAACGCAGTCTCATGAGGAAGCATTTCCAACTTGCACTTGTTCTAAAGATGATCTATTGACTAACAAGCGGGATTGGATTTCTGAGAAAATAATTCATTTTGACTTGTAGCCTCAACACTTGCAAAGTCTGGTTGGATTCTAGTTATTTACAAAGACGTTGAATCAAAACCCCACTATTCTAGAGAACTTTAAAATACCTCCTGGATGTAAAAACTCCGAGGAAAAATGACGCACCGAAACTTAACACCAATTTTAATGAAAGGTCCTCAGCCTGCTGTTTCTTATGCAAAATGTGCAAACTGCTAGTCACTCCATGAATTGTCATCTGTTCTAATTTGTTTAGCTAATCCAACAGGAACACGTGCACAGAAGATACTTTGATGTCTTTACATGTCAGCAATAGCACGTATGTGCTCTGCACTAATATGCAAAATCAGGAATAAAAATACAAAAGGAGAGACACTACCAGATTGCAGATAACCCTAAGGACTGTTACCTTAATGCTCTTCTTGAGCTTGAAGTAACGCCCTCCACCTCCCATTAGCACTCCTCTAGATTGGCTCATATTTTACTTCACATAGTCCTTCAGACATAGGGGGTTTCAAACGAAAAACAAAAGAAAACACTTTTTATGCTATATCACATCTTATGGTGTCAAAATATCTGCAGACGTGTATTTTCACATAAACACATGAA